AAAAAAAAAAAAGCAACATCTGCAATCTATGGGCCACACCAAGATTTTAATTCTTCTCTTTTTTTTTTTTTTTTTTTTTTTTTTTTTTTCCCCCTTTATTATTATATATTTATTTTTTGTCATTTTGGTAGAGCATCTCCTCCCTCCCTTCTGCCTGTCTCTCTCCTGCTCCCCAGGGAGGGCTGCCTTGTCCTCTGGCCCTTCCCGCCGGGGGGGAGATCCCCGGCAGCGGCGTGAAAATTAGGAGATGACATTTTAATAAATATTGCTGTCAGTCACCAAGCTCAGAGCCACCCGGCACGGAGAACAAAGCCCGTGGGGTCCAGGCTCCACATTACCCCCCTCTACTCTTTCCAAAGTTCAATGGACAAACATGAGTGGGTGGTCTTCCCACCCACCCACCCACCCCCATGAAACCAAAGTTTCAACTTTTGGAAGAAATCCAGATGGATCAGTCCTTAAATTTCCCTCTCTCTCCCCAGCCCCTGCGAGGTTTGAATGGCAGCCCCACAGACCTTTTATGATCACAATTACACGCCGCACAAATTCTGATCAGAGGTACTGCTGGTCACAAATGGCTTTTGACCGAAGTAAACCCAAGTAGGGTTGTAGCTTTTATACTGTATTTTCCATAGGTACAAGCTGTAGATGGCATCCCTGCTAGCTGTTACAAACGTAAATACTTTATGCCCCTGTTGTCAAAATAAAACAAAAAAAAAGAGTGTCTGCCCAGACCAAGGAAAATGTGAGAGATGTGCTCGTTCTACGCCCAGCAAATACAATGCAATGAAAACTGAACCATTACTGACTTAGAGATTCCTCCCGTTGGGTGACACTCCAGGTTATCTGTTGCTGATCCTCACGTTGTTTGAAACACTTCAGTTCATTGACAGGTTGGTGCAAGCGGATCAGATCAAAAGTGTACACACAACGCGTCATTTAAATACCTTTTTCACCCTCTTTATATTAAATGAAGAACTTGAGGGTAAGTCACAGAAAAAAAACATCCTGAATGAACTCTTTTTGCCTGTTTCCTATGGCATTGGCAAGTTGTAGCACCTTTACTTGTGAGTGGAAATGAAAATTAATAAATACACAATGTATGGTAAACCATTGTCTTTAGCAATCATCTCCCAGGCATCTCAACCCAGTGATTAACTTCCACTTTTCAATTTTGTGAAGACATGGAAAGGAATCTGGGAGAGGATCCTTGGCCTCTTTTCTACACACTGAAGGAAATTTGTTATTTGGGTTTTTTTATCAGAGTTAGGTGGATGAACTGAAGGAAATTTGTTGTTTGTTTTTTTTTAATCAGAGTTAGGTGGATGGTTGGACTAGAACATCTTAAAGGTCCCTTCCAACCTAGACAAATCTGTGAGTCTATGGCAGTTGCACAAGTCATACTTAGGTTAACTATGGAAGATGAAGAACAAAGAGATGGGATGGCAGCTCAGAGCACTCTGCAGGTTTCTTCTCAAGATTCGTTGCAATCAGACTTAAACAATGCGGGTTTTAATTACTGGAACTGACTCTACAATAAGCTATGCCATTGTTTAGTATGAGGAAGAGGAGGCTGAGGGGAGACCCCATCACTCTCTACAACTTCGTGAAAGGACACTGTAGAGAGGTTGGGGCTGGTCCCTGCTCACAGGTAATTAGTGACAGAACGAGAGGGAATGGCTTCAAGCTCCAACAGGGTGGGTTTAGATTGAACATTAGGAAAGAATTTTTCACCGAAAGAGTGGTCGGGCATTGGAACAGGCTGCCCAGGGAGGGGGTGGAGTCACCATCCCTGGCTGTGTTTAAGGGCCGTTTAGATGCAGTGCTGAGGGACATGGTGTAGGGGAGGACTTTGTAGAGTAGGGGAGATGGTTGGACTCGATGATCCCAAGGGTCTCTTCCAACCTAGACAATTCTATGATTCTCTGAAATGTCCGTGATCCACTTGTAGGTGCCTTTCTACTTGAACTGAGGCCAACATCAGAAATGATTTGGTTGCTTGGTGTCATGCGACTTTATTTGAGGTAACAAAACCCAGGGATTTTGACAGTCTGGAAGCGAGAGTCAGGATGCAAAAAATAAATAAATAGAAATGTAACAATATCTTTGTTTAAATTGGGCACGCAGACCATTGGTGTTTGGAACAGTGCTGTTTTTTTTTAATGTACATTTTGTGCTAAACTCCAGCCTGAAGGGCAGATGGGAAGTGAACCTCTGCGCACATCCTCCAGTGATATTGAGTAGATCCAGCTTGTTTGAGCACCTCTGTTGAAACCTAGGAACAAGGTGTCAATACGACCCCACGGCGGTGGACGGGAGGGCACTGGGAGAAGTGTTGTGTTGTTTGGGAGCCGTGTGTGGCAGGGACAGGCACAACACAGGGAAGGCCGAATGTGTCCTGCTGCTTTCTAGGCTCCACGCAATCCTTTCAGCAAGGTTGGGCTTGTTCCAAACTTGGAAAGGGGGAGGGGGGGGTAATATTTTTAAGTAATTTCTGTATTCGTGAGAAAAATGAGGCTTACTCAATTTAATAAGTTGTATGGAATAAATTAAAGGGTTTGTTTAGTTGTGGTTTTTGTTGTGTTTCTTTTTTACTTCCTATCTACAGTAGCACTTTGAGATCTTTTGTATCGTGGTCAGCAGCTAGATGGTTTTAGTCCAGGTTTTAGTGAACCATGCACAGAATTCAACCTGATTGTAATTTGAATTGTAATTCACTGACGTTTTTTGGTGCAAATTTTGGAAGGGAGGCCACATTTTAAAGCAAGTGGCTTTGGAGAACGGACTGTTCTCTCACTCAATCACCTGTCACCCTTAGGGGGACTCATTTCAAGTCAAGGTCACTGTTGAAACCCTCAGCATCACTCCTTTGAGCAAACAAAAGACAGTATGTCTCCAACACTGAAGGCACACATTAAAAAAAAAAAAAGACATAAAGAGGTTTTTCAACAAAGACTTTTGTAGTTTATTCTTAATTCTTTATTATTCTCATCATATTTAACTGACTACAGAGCTACAGACACTTAGGTGTGTCACCTTATTAGGCATAACAATGGAAATTGTGTTTATAGAGCCAACTTCCAGGTAAGAGTCAAGTGCTATTGTTATTGAGGCTCTTAGCTGATGTAAAAATGACACTGGTCTATTCCCTACATCCAACTCAGACATGTAAGATCCATCGAAGCACAGATTTTCTGACCTACATCACAGATTCTGCTGTGCTACACCAAATTTCTATAAGAACAGTATTTCATTCCTATAAGTAAGGGAAAATTTTAAATCCAAAGCTGGTGTGACCATCTCAAGAGAAACGTTATTTAATTTAGTCTGAAAAAAAGAAATAAAATGGACGACGCTGGCCATATTACAGCTATTGTTAAATTGAATAAATACCTAAACATGAAAAGAAGAAAAACCGTTTGTTGCTTTAACAAGTTGAGAGTGAGTGTAAAGTGGAAATAATTTCATAGTCTTGTATATGCTTTTTTTTCCCAGTTTGTTACAAACCGTTAAGAAATGGTGTGTTTCTCTGGTGTGTTCAGATTCTAAACGAATTTAAGAAAGATGGGGAAAAAGTTTTTAGCAGGACCCGTTGCGATAGGACAAGGCTTAATGGCTTGAAACTACAAGAGGGAAGATTTAGGTTACATGTAAGGAAGAAATCTTTTACAATGAGGGTGGTGGAACGCTGGAACAGGTTGCCCAGAGAGGTTGTTGATGCTCCATCACTGCAAACATTCAAGGTCAGGTTGGATGGGGCTCTGAGCAACCTGATCTAGTTGAAGATGTCCCTGCTTATTGCAGGGGAGGTTGGACTAGATGACCTTTAAAGGTCTCTTCTAACCCAAACTGTTCTATGGTTCTATGAGTATTCATTTTCTCTTTGTCATCAAGAGGAAACATAAATTTAGTAAATAATAGGTTATATTCTGCCTGCTCTGTTTTAAATATATTTTGAAAGGTTATAAGATTCTGTTGGAATTTTATTGGAGAAGTTATTTTTATTTTCATAAACAGTTAATTAATAATGCAGCACCAGTAGATGGTGCTCAAGAATATATAGCATAACTGAGGGGTAGGCGTGATTAAAAATATCTATTTTAAAATTGAAAAATTTCAGGGAAAGTGTTGGTTTTCTTTTGAGAAGTTGATTTTTCATCAGAAAACAGTATCTTCTTCCAAATCTAGAACAAACCTTTGGTTGGTTGACAATTTTAAGTTGAAAAGGTCAGTGATCTGCTTGCTTGTTTGTTTGTTTTCATTCTTCATATGGCTTCTTCAGTGAAGATTTGTACAAGAACTTTTAAATTCTGCTATTCAGTTTAAATATTTTTTGTTATTCAGCCAATTATTGGGCTAGAAACAGTGAAATTAGTGAAATAGGTGACACCAGGAGCATGGGGAAAAGGGGTCTTAAGCACATCTGAGGCCTGTGCACCATCCTACCTCAGACAGTGGCCCTTAAACGCTCCTGAGGAAGGTGCAGAAAACCCAGAATAGGGGTATTTTTGACAGTAATTTTGGCTTCACAAAGTCTGGCCTAGTCTCCGGTATTTAGAGATCTAATTAAGTCTCCAAATAAGTTTCGGTTCCCCTGCAATACTCGTTTAGCTTGTTTAACTCCATACATTCTTACTATCCAC